ATTTTAGGTATTAGTCCAATGTTTGGTATAAAACACTAAGCACTGTAGCACTGTTCTCCCGTTGTTCATCGATTTGCCCGAGCGGGCCTAGTAACGACTCCATTGTGAGACTTGTTACTGTGTTTGGCATATTGAATACATCATGGGTAGCTTGCCAGGCTCTGCCGTGCAGGCGAGACACTCTCGGTAGCTTTCCGGGCTCTCCGAGAGGGGCAGAGGAATTGAACCTGGGTCAGAGGGGTCGGTTGCGTGCAAGGCAAACACCCTACCACTGTGCTATCACTCCAGCCCTAAAACACTAATTGTACAATAAATATTATTTGTTGCTTTCATTATTATTGAATAAAAAATAATTCCAATAAAAATGCATTGACTCAGAGGGTAAAGGAAGATTAGTTTTTCTCTTTGTTTCTTTTCTGAACAAGTATGCAGGAAGAGAGTATTCCTACAATAATGCACTTGATTTTGATGAATTGTTCCTTAAGTGATCATTTCCTTTTAATACTCAATGTGTCAACTGAGAGTTTTAACTTCTTTTATAGAATTCCTTGAACTGAGAATTGGATAGATGTACCTTCTGTATTGTCTGGCATGAGAGTTCCTCTAGTATCATCTTCATCTTATTTTCGAACCAAAATGTTTTCAATAGGAAAGTTACAAACCAGGAGCAATTGTGGCTACAGTGGAGCTTACCTCTTCCATAGGACTAGTTTGAATGGACCATGGACCACAGAAATAAGACACAGCAGAACATATCCCTAATTTGGGAACAAAGTCAGAAAATGTCAGTCCGAAGGGCAAATATAAGATGACATATGGATGAACTTGTTTGCTCATCTTCAGAAGAAAGCCTCTGTATGAAATCTGTATGCATTGCCCATGAATCTCTATGTTTCTAAATGGTGATGTATGGAAGATGCAGGGTACCTCACAAATTTCATGAAGGCCCCACAACTTCTTCTATGAGTCTTATCAATGTCACTGGCTAGTTTGTTCTATTCCATTTCTTCATTAAAAGATTATAATCGCATTAGAAATCCTAACAAGAGCAATCAGGCAAGAAAAAACAATCAAAGGGATCCAATTTATAAAAGAAAAAATCAAAATTATGTATTTTCAATTCACATGATAAAAAACATAATAGACCATAAAGAATTCACTGACAAATTCTTAGAAAGAAAAACTCAATACAACAAATGTGCCAGTACAAAGTCTACACACAAAAAAACTATTGCATTCCTATATTCAAATAATGAGCTAAAAGAGAAAGATCAAAGAGTTTACTAACATAGAAAATAATGTCTCTAAACATGGCATACTTAGAAATCAATTTTAAAAAGGATATTAGAAACCTATACCATGAAAGTTATGTCATTTATGAAAGTGATAAGATAAAATCTTAGAAGATAGAAAAATATTATATGATCACAAACTGGAAGAATTAATATTGTCAAAATGAACATACTACCTAAATTATATTGATTAAATGCAGTCCACATCCAGATTCCAATTATAATCTTCAAGGACTTGTAATAACATCAGTAACAAACATTTTATGAAATAATATAACACTCCAGATAGTCAAAGCCATACCGAGAAATAAGAAATTGTGACATAGCTCATTACTTAACTTCAAATTATACTATAAAGCTCTAATAATAAAAGCAGGATGGTTTGGGAATTGTTTTTTATAGTCTCTGAGTCTTGCCGTTGATGGGATTACTTAATCACTTAATCACTTAAGTTCCCGTTAGTCGTCGATTTGCTCGAGCGGGCGCCAGTAACGTCTCCATTTGTCCCTGTCGCGAGCTAGTGTAGCCCAATGGCATCTGTTCGCTCCGGGAACATGAAGGGCCTCAAACCGATCGTTCATGATCTTCACGAAGAAGTCTGACCATCTGGTAGGTGGGCGGCCACGCGGTCTTTTGACATCCCGTGGAATCCAGTCAGTAACAGCTCTAGTCCAACGGTCGTCTTTAAATCTCATTACGTGACCAGCCCATCTGATTTTCGACAACTTGGCAAATGAGACAGCGTCCCTGATCCTTGATCGTCGACGGATGTCAGAACTCCGGATTCTTTCTCTCATTTGAGTGAAACGTGATCTTCCAAGCATAGCTCTTTCTATTCTTCTTTGGGAGACCTGAATAGCGTTCTCATCTTGTTTGCGTAGGGCCCAGGTCTCTGAGGCATATGTTAATGCAGGAAGAACAGTGGAATCAAAGAGATGTGCCCGGAGCTGGAGGTTCTTCGTCCTCTTAGCTATTTCTTCGATGTTCTTGAAGGCGTTCCAAGCTGCTCTCTTCCTCCTGCGCAGCTCGGGTGCCAGGTCATTTGTCATGTTGACCTCTCGACCTAGGTACACAAAGCTGTTGCATTCGGAGATGGTCGTTCCATTGAGAGCGAATGGGACGTCAGGAACAAGGCTGTTTCACATAAACATTGTCTTCGTAAGATTCAGCTGTAGTCCTACCTTTCCACACTCACGGTCAAAGTCGGCTAGCATTTGTGCCGCTTGGCTGATGTTTGGTGTTATTAAAACAATGTCATCAGCAAAGCGGAGGTGGTGTAGTTGCCGACCATCTATCTTCACTCCCATTCCTTCCCATTCCAGTTGTCGCATGATGTTCTCGAGGGTGGCACTGAAGAGTTTCGGTGAAATGGTATCACCCTGCCACACCCCTCTCTTGACATCAACGATCACTTCTTTGTAGAATGGTGAGATCCTGGTAGTGAATCCACAATACAGCTCACGGAGGATCCTGATGTATTGGGCTTGAATGCCCTGATTGGCTAGGGCTTCAATGACCGCTTCCGTCTCAACAGAATCAAAGGCCTTCTTTAAATCAATGACCGTTAAACAGAGCGGCATCTTGAACTCCCGAGAAACCTCAATGAGCTTGGTTATTGTGTGGATATGGTCGATGGTGCTGAATCCTTTGCGGAACCCTGCTTGCTCGCATGGTTGTCCTTCATCTAGTGTTCTGCCAATCCTATTTAGGATGACTCGAGTGAACAACTTGTAGATGACAGACAATAGGCAGATCGGGCGATAGTTGCCAATGTCATGGATGTCTCCCTTCTTGAACAGTAGTACGGTCCTGCTGGTTTTCCATTGGGACGGAACCTTGCATTCAGACAGGTAGCGAGTGAAGAGCCAAGCCAGTGTATTGATGAGTACTGACGGCAGGTTCTTCAGGTGTTCAGGTCTGACCTTGTCTGGGCCGGGTGCTGTTTGTTTCTTTACCGACGAAATGGCCTGTCAGATTTCGGAAGGGAGAACGTTGGGAACGACATATCCATCCTGTGGAATTTGGTATGTCGGCAAGTGGACATGGCTATCAAAGAGATTTGAGTAGAAGTCATGGATAATCTTCTCCATTGCCATTCTGGAGGATGTGATGGATCCATCAGGACGTCGGAGGGCAGTCATCTTGGTCTTATAGTTGGCAAAGGACCTGCGGGCGTTACGAATACTTTTTCCGACTTCTGCCGCATCTACCAGTACTTCTGCTCTTCTCTCTTTGAGGTCTTCCTTGATCGCATCTCTGCACTGCTTTGCGAGCTCGGACGTTAGCTTGCGGTTGCCTGAGGCATGCGTCAAACCACGCTGGCGAATTAGCTCAAGAGTTTTCGAAGATAGGCGATTTTTTGTGGCTATCTCTCTCTTGGCGTTCCTCGCACATTCATGGAGGTGCTGAACCAGTCGATCGTATTCCTCATCAATGTTGTCAACAATGGCATCTTCCCATGTTGCCGCAATAGTACCAAAGAGTTCCCAGTTGGTGGTCATTCTGGGAGTTCTCTTTTTGAACTTTGCAGCCCTTTCTCCCCGCTCTGTGAAGTAGAATTTTGCACGAAGGAGACGGTGGTCCGATCCCGTTCGAAATTTTGGGACAACAGCGACATCAGTCAAGCAAAACCGTCGATTGAATATGATGTGGTCTATTTCGTTGTGGAATCGTCCACTGGGAGACTCCCATGTCCATCGTTTAGATTCTGCCTTCTGGAACTGTGAGTTACCATGAATGGTCTTGGTCAACATGATGAACTCAGACAGTCTCTCACCCTGTTCGTTCCATTCTAGGCCATGGGTCCCGATGTGAAGTTCTTCAGCTGATCTTCTCGGTCCTATCTTGGCATTAAAATCACCCACAATGATCTTGTAGAAGGTGTGGTCTTCTTTATAGAACTTCTCTAGCTCCATGTAGAACTTCTCGATTTCTCTTTCATCATAATGAGATGTTGGTGCGTAGACAACGAAGCTAGAAACTGCAGGCAGTGAGCCACATCTATTCAAATGTAAACGTCTGATTCAGGTTGTTAGGCATCCGAATGAATCAATGCTCTTGGCCAAGTTTGTGTTGACAAGGACACCGATGCCTCCAACACCTCTTTTATCGCATGTTCCGAGGAACAATTCTTCTCCAGTGTCGAAAACGGCATGGTGAGATTCGTGCCTTCTTGTCTTGGTCAGACCAATGATGTCGTACTTGATCATTCGTGCTTGTACCATCAGGTCCTCGATGGATGCATCTGATGCTAGCATATGTGCATCGAAAGTACAGATGATCATTTTTGTCTTCCTTCATTGTGGCAGCCTAGGTCAGCCTTGAGATTTTGTCGGCCTCTCCTTTCTCATCCTTCTCAGTGCTGCCATGTCGGTGAAGCCTTCAGGGTCAGGTGAATGAGACCAGTTGTAGTTACTGGTTTTGGCATATCGAATACACAGCGGATAGCTTGCCAGGCTGTTCCGTGCGGGCGGAATACTCTCGGTAGCTTGCCAGTCTTTCTGAGAGGGATAGAGGCTTTTGGGGCGACCTCTAATCACCCTTGTAGGTGTTACCATATCTGAACCCTATCAAATATGGTACGACAATTCCAGAAGATGGGTATTTAGTGTATTATGATGTGTCACGCGGCCGCTTGCGGCTGCGCGGGTCCGGGAAGCGTCCTGGAGTGTGGCAACGGCTGGGTAGTGGAAGTAGTGGCGGCAGCGGCGGCCCAGGATGGCGTCGGCTACGAGCCTCATCCAGATGCTGCGGAACTGGGCATCTGGGCATGACTTGCAGGCAAAGCTGCAGCTCCGGTACCAGGAGATCGCCAAGCAGACTCAGCCTCCTCCCAAGCTCCCCGTGGGCCCCAGCCACAACCTCTTCAACAATCACTACTGCACTCGTGACGGCCGCCGGGAGTCCACGCCGCCCTCTGTGGTCATGTCCACACAGAAGGCACTGGTGGCCGGCAAGTCCCATGGGATTACAGAGACTATAAAAACCAGCTCCCAGAAGAGAACAGTGCAGTCTCCTGCCCCCGCGCCTGACTGTCCTCACCGGTGCCCCTTGGAGGGGAGCGGGTTGAGCTTTCCTTCCCGCCCTGACTAGGGCTCCGGCAGCCGAAGACCTCCAGGACCAGCCACCACCATGCTGAGACCACTCTCTGCACACCTGAAGGTACCGGCAGAGACACTAAGGCAAGTGGGACCCGTGGCCGAGATCTCCAAGCCTACTCGGATCGGAGCTGAGCATCCTACACCCAGATCCTCTGAATTCCAGTAGGCGGGGGTCACACCCACCAACTGGCCCCCTGGCACCATGTAATCCCATCAACGGCCAATACTCAGAGACTATAAAAACAAGCTCCTGGAACCGCGCGGCCGCATTTGCGGCCACGCAACATCTTATTATAACATCTTATTATCTCATTCCTACTTTGGACAAACTGGCAGGCTACCGAATGTAGCCTGCCCACACGGCAGAATCTGGCAAACTCCCCGTGGCATACCCAATATGCCAAATACCAGTAACAATGATGGGTCTCATTCTCCTAAAGAGCCTTGAATATAATCTCAGGGCTAGGATGAAGGAGATGTTACTGGGGCCTGCTCGAGGCAATCGACGAATAACAGGATGATTTGTGATTTGTGATTTGTGATTTGTGATGGGACTTAAATACTTCCTTTAAATACTTCCTGACCAATGGGTTAGAATCATGTACCTAAAGACAAACCTTCAGATCTAGAGTCAACTAATTTTCGACAAAGGAACTAGGTACATGAAGTGTAGTAATGAGAAACTTTTAATGAATGGTGATGGGAAAACTGGATAATCACATGTACAAAAAAATAAAACTGGATACATACCTCATACCTTACACAAAAGTCAATTCACAGTGGATCAGACTTTTCAGAATCCATAATATACACTGAAAAGGATATAGGCAGACTGCTCTATGATTTAGACCTCAAAGGTATTTTCTTTTCTGTCAGCAAAAAAAAAGAAGCAAAAAATGAAATGGGACTATATTAAATTGAAGAGTTTCTGCATGACAGAAGAAGTACAGGGACTTTTTCAATATTTTTAAGATACTACCAAGAAGCATCACTCTGAATTCTGTGCCTAGACTTTTTAAACCTATAGCTTGGAACCAGAAAATCAGAAACATCAAGCATACCTCCAGTGACACATATTACCACAGTCCCATCAGACAAGGTAATGTTCTCATTCTTCATAAATTGGCAGAGAACAAGAAAAGCATAATTCACTTGACTGAGGGGAGAGTGACTATCACAACTGAGATCCTGCGGGGTTTCCGAGTTTCAGCTCCAATGATGACATCATCGGCGCAACGTCATCAGAGAAGGCATTTGATTTGTGCTATATTTTCTTGGCCCTGATCCAATTCCACTGAAAAGCAAAAGTGAGGTTTATTTCTTGCATTGCAAGCTCTTGGCAGATATCCAGAGAAGTCTACTCTCAACAAGTAGTCACTTTCTTTGTTTAAAGACTATTTTACTTGAGAGGGGATAGAATCTGACTGGCAAGTAAGCTTTTTGGAGAGCTGCAGGAAAGTGAAGGCATAGACTACACATATGGTAAATATTTAACACATTGACACCTGCACATATCAGCGGAGGCTCACCCTTGAACATGGTCTAGATAACATAAATTGCAGTGCTGGCATCATCTCCATGCCATTTATGTAAACACTTGTTCTAAACATTACTGAACAGTTTGAATATTCACATGGGTGTAAAAACTCTTATCCTTGAAGAAATAAATCAACTGCCAAAGTTAGAACACAGATAATTAAATGTTTTCTTTCAGCCTATCCTTTTTGTTCTCTTAAAGAAAATCGCAATTATTTTGCATTTCCTATTGAATTTGATTCATTGAGAACTATTCTTAAAGAAAATCATATACCTTTTGAGAACCAGTTTTAATGGATTAATATTTTCCATTAGCTGGGGGGGAAAAAGTGCCAACCAAAACAAAACCTTGGAGTCAACTTTTGCTGACAGAAGCTGCCCTCTGCTTTACCTGTGGAAAATTGCAGGAACCCAGAAAGTCAGCCCAGAAAATGCCCTCAGGCACCAAACCTGCAGTCTCTGAAACCACTAACAAGGTGATTTCTTTTCACCCTCCTCCCCCTTTGCCAGAAATGCAAAGAAGATGAGCTACCTCATAAACTCCTGGCTACCTTTCCTCCCCCTGAAGTCACAAGTTCTTTGTTTATCTTTTCTTTTTGAACCCTGGGAAAAGTATATCAAAGTGATTCTGTCTGCCAAAAGTTTGTGCACTTAGGAACTGGCCCCGTGACAAACGCCTGCAGAGAAGAGAAAAGATTTCTGTGTTTCTTAGTGTTATTTTCTCTCTTGAGATGTTTCCAGAGACTTGAAAGGAAGGCTGTGCTGAGGAACTGATTAAACTTGCTCATACAAAAATTGGAAGTCGGTGTGAACAACCGGCTCTCTCTGCCTCCACTCCCAGCCCAGCAGCCCAGGTAACTGGGATCACTTATCACAGAAATTAGAACTGGAAAAAAACAGTCCATCCCTCAGCCCCTTTCACCTGGCAGTGGGAGAATAGCTCCTTGTGGTCGCCATTGTTTAGTCTGGTTGAATTTTAAAACACGCATCAGAAAAAAACAGTGCCCCAAATTTCTTCTGGGAGTTCTCTCTGTAGATAAAAACTTGGAAAATTGTTAGGCTAATAAGTTGAGGATTTCTTTCAGTTAGGCTCATCCTATTATTTTGAGACAATCCTTGCCTCCTCTGTGCTTTGTGGTCTTATGAAACTATTCAGTTCTCCAGTTTCTCCACATCTGAAGATGGGAATTGTAACATTAAAATACTGTTTGGAAAAGACAAGAAAACAGGGGCCCAAGAATGTTTAAATCATGTGCTCCATGACTAGCTACATACGGCCTCAACGTATCCTCAGAAAAGATATTTTTTTCCTAAAATCTCAGAAAGCACTTATAGATCTTGAAGTTGATCTGTTCTGTTGTGGTATTACCCAGAACTTAACAAATAATCTGAGATTTGAACCTAAAGGAACTGTCTGACACGAATCCTTGACCAAATGGAGAAGGTAAGTAATGGTGAGTGCTTACTCCACCTGCAGAACCATTCTCCAACTTTCCAGGCTCCCTAGCGTCACGTACATCCACAACACTACTGTCTAGTGCATTTGTTTTCACCTGTCTGCCCTGAAACTGTCACCCTAGGGTTCCATTGCCAAACCAGTGAATCTGATGATCTGCTGATTGGACACTGTTCTCCTGGGCCCACATAAGGATGTTTACAGCTGACAGTGAGTAATGCCTGTAGCAGAAGGAACACTTTTGCAGCTCCAGAATTCTAAATGTTTGGCATAGAAATGACAATTAGGGAACATCTTTTTTTTCCTGTGAAGAAAGTTGAATTATCAGAACCCTTCAAATGACATTTTAGAGGGGCTGAAGAGATAGCACAGTGGGTAGGGCATTTGCCTTTCACGTGGCCGACCCGGGTTCGATTCCCAGCATCCCATATGGTTCCCCGAGCACTGCCAGAGGTAATTCCTGAGTGCAGAGCCAGTAGTAAAGCCTGTGCATCACCAGACGTGACCCCCCAAAAATGACATTTTAAATGAATACAATGATAAATACATGAGAGTCAAGTATATAGCTAAATATTCCTTTCTGCCCTGGTTACTCAGGTATTATTGTAGTACCAATTTTATGAATATGTAGACTAGGCCTTGGGGGAATTAAAACTTACCCAAGATTGCGCAAATAGAGATGATCCAGTTTCAAAATCTATAGTCCTAAGTCATTACACTGTTTTAGTGTCAATGCAATTACTACAAATCATAGCAACAGACATTTGTGGAGGGTTTATGTACCTGACATTGTAATAAACTTTTCACATGAAGTTTCCTATTTAATCTTTATAATCATTCACTGATGCAAGTAATATGTTTATTTTTAAAATACAAGCGAAAATAAAGCATTAAAAGACAGTGGTTGCACTTTTTCACTTACATTAAGATGATTTTAAGGATACATTTAAGTTACATAACTGTGGAATCAAATCCAAGCAAACTAATTCTAGATCTATGATCTTTCAGATCCCTTTGTTACTTGATCACTTGACATGCCGTTACTCATTGATTTACTTGAGCGGGTGCCAGTAATGTCTCCATTCGACCCTGTCGTGTCCTAATGTAGCCCAATGGCATCTGCTCATTCTAGGAACACGAAGAGCCTCAAACCGATCATTCAGGGTCTTGACAAAGAAGTCTGACCATCTCATAGATGGATGGCCACATATCTTTTGACGTCTCATGGAATCGAGTTGGTAACAGCTCTAGTCCAGCGGTCGTCTCCAAATCTCATTACGTGTCTAGCCCATCTGATTTTGAATGCCTTGGCAAACGAGACAGCGTTCCTGATTCTTGACCATCAATGGAGGTCAGAACTCCAGACTCTTTCTCTCATTTGAGTGAAGCGTGATACTCCAAGCATAGCTCTTTTGATTCCTCTTTGGGAGACCCGAATAGCGTTCTCATCCTGTTTACGAAGTGTCCAGGACTCTGGGGTGTATGTTAATGCAGGAAGAATAGTGAAATCGAAGAGATGTGCTCAGAGTCGGAGGTTCTTTGTCTTCAACTATTTTTTGACGCTCTTGAAGGTGTTCCAAGCTGCTCTCTTCCTCCTGTGTGTCTCAGGTGCCAGGTCATTTGTCATGACTTCTTGACCTAGGTACACATAACTGTTGCATTCGGAGATGGTCGTTCCTGTGAGAGCAAAAGGAGCATCAGGAAAAAGACTGTTCTCATGAGCATTGTCTTCCTGAGATTCAGCTGTAATCCAACCTTTCCACACTCAAAGTCGAAGTTGGCCAGCATTTGTGCTGCTTGGCTAATGTTTGGTGTTATTGGAACCATGTCATTAGCAAAGCAGAGGTGGTGTAGTTGCTGACCGTCTCTCTTCACTCCCATTCCTTCCCATTCCAGTCGTCGCATGATGTTCTCGAGAGTGGTGCTAAAGAGTTTTGGTGAAATGGTATCACCCTGCCAAACCCCTCTCTTGACATGGATGATCACTTTGTAAAATGGTGAGATCCTGGTAGTGAATTCGTAATACAGCTCACGGAGGATCCTAATGTATTGAGTTTGAATGCCCTGATTGGCTAGGACTTCTGTGACTGCTTCCATCTCAACAGAATCAAAGGCTTTCTTTAAATCAATGAACATTAGACAGAGTGGCATCTTGAACTCCTGAGAAACCTCAATGAGCTTGCTTATGCTGTAGAAATGGTTGATCATGCTGAATCCTTTGCGGAACCCAGTTTGCACGCATGGTTGTCCTTCATCTAGTGTTCTGCCAACACTATTCAGGAAGACTCAAGAGAACAACTTGTAGATGACAGACAATAGGCAGATGGGGCGATAGTTGCCAATGTTATGGATGTCTCCCTTCCTGTACAGTAGTAACAGTCCTGCTGGTTTTCCATTGGGACAGAACCTTGCATTCAGACAGGTATCGTGTGAAGAGACGAGACAGTGTATTGATGAGATGTTTGGGTCTGACCTTGTCTGGGCCTTGTGTTGTTGGCTTCTTTACTGACAAAATGGTGTGTCAGATTTCAGAAGGGAGAACTTTGGGAACAACATATCCATCCTGCGGAATTTGGTATGTGGGCAGGTGGATGTGGCTAACGAAGAGATCCAAGTAGAAGCCATGGATAAACTTCTCCATTGCCCTTCTGGAAGACGTGATAGATCCATCAGGACGTCAGAGGGCAGTCATCTTGGTCTTGTAGTTTGTGAAGGACAGACGGGAGTTGCGAATGCTTTCCCCAGCTTCTGCCGCATCTGCCAGCACTGTTGCTCTTCTCTCTTTGAGTTCTTCCTTGATTGCTTCTCTGCACTCCTTTGCGAGTTCAGACTTCCTTGTGGTTGCCTGAGGCATGTTTCAAGCCAAGTTGGCTAATAAGCTCAAGAGTTTTCAAAGATAGGCATTTTTTTTTGTTACTTAATGATGCATTATCTCCATAGAAATCAAAGTGATTCGGTTATCAGCAAAGTAGTAGAACAGACAGACTGAAACTTTTTGCTTTAGAAATGGATTCACTCCTAACTTAGCCTAGAATATCTAACCGTTGAGTACAGAATTGTCAACCATATAGGAGGCAGCAAGATGACAGTTTTCTGACATTTCCAAGCACCATCTGGCATAATCTGTGCAACTTTATCTAACGTATCACCCAGGTGGAGCCAAATTTGCCTCCATTGAGTTCCTTGTCCCACATTATGCATATAAAGCAATGATTTAAAACAAACCAACCACTGTCTTTCAAGGGCCCTCTGGATGATTACCACACTGGACAATGCTAATGAGAAAGTTTAGTCTCTCTCTCTCTCTCTCTCTGTGTGTGTGTCTTTCTCTCTCTGTCTCTCTCTCTCTCGCTCTCTTTCTCTCTCATGAGTGCACGGTGGAAGATTACAACCTGAAAGTCAGCAACTGAGAGATAAGGAACAGGTGTCTATATCCTAAGAGAGTGAGAAGCCAGTCAGAAGAACCACTTCCCTGACAGAAGAAACTAGGCAACAAACATCTAACAACATTAGACCATTAGGAAGAAAGGATAATAGTTTTGAGTAAGTTTAGTAGAGTATATTGAGAGAACCATGAGCAAAAATTTAAAGCTTCCTCTGTTGCTGTGATTGAATAAGCAGCACTGCTTGACTACTCACATTTAGGGTGAGGAAAAAAAGTATTCTTTCTCTCTTCTCCATTTCCCAAGTGTTTAGTATTCTCAAGTTTCTTATTCTCCTGGTCAAAATGGTTCAGATATAACTACACAACTAGCTGGAATCAATTCCTGATCTTTTGCATCAGCAACTAATAGTTAGGAGAAGTAATTCCTTGAGGGTTTAAATCTGGGAGACTAAG